TGAGATTAAATATTTGAAAATGTCATCTAATTAACATTAGAGTATTCCAAAGTTGTGCTTCTTTATTATTAAATGGGAAATGGATCAGCTGGTGGTGTTGTAATTACTGTCTGTTCTACAACCATGGCTATACCAGATTAAAGTGCTGCAAAAATGGCAGGTCAAACCATTGTATAAAATTATCCGGCTGTACAAAGACTGCTACAGCACATGATCCCGCGTGATGTTCACCACCTCACCTCATCTACAGTGTGCTGCTTTCTGGGCCACAGCTCGGCAGAGAGGCGCCCCAAAGCCGTGTTAGCCCGTACGGATTTGCTTGCATTTCCTGCAACAAACAAGACACTTTTTTAGGATATTTTTCTTCCATGTTTGTTAGGGAGAATTTTCAAAATAACAATCCAGCATAACGACGCAGCAAAAGCAGCAATACCTTTTCTCCCATGCCCTAATCCTCCTCGTCCTTTAAATTTCACCCGATGGTGACCCTCTGACTCCCAGGACCGCACAGTTTAAATGAGAGCCTCAGTTCTCAAAACCTTCCCCCAGAGCTTTGTGTCTATCTGCTGGTTCTATAGAGGTGTACTAAGTCCAAGCCTTTGGATTTGCTCATCTCCTTAACATCATAACTATCCCCATTGCACAGTTCAATATACTGCGTGTTCGGAAAGATGACTTTGCAGGGCTGGGAATAGATTTCAAAATCCTATTGCTGAGGTTTCTTCTTCCTCTAGTGCTTCAAATACTGCTTCATACATCAGCTCTGGAATATTGGACCTATGCAACATTACTCTGTTACAATAAAACTGTACGCGGACTTCACAATGAAAAGTGTGGGGAGGGTGACAGCAGTCAAGTTCAACTGGCCTCAGTTTTCCTAAATCATAACCATTCCTGACGCCATTTCCTCATTTTAAAACACCTTATAAACACTAGACATCATCTCCTCCTCCACCTGCACAGCTGCTCTCTGCAGGGGGTCCCAGCCTCCTCGTCCTGTGGCCAGAGAGCTGGACCCCAGCCAAGCAGGTCATGCTACAGTAAATATACTGCGAATGAACAGTGTTCAGTTCTACATGGGTGCTGTTATTCCCTGTGAACAGCACACTAAAGTGAGCAATCTAAGACACTAAGAAGCTGTTTAGAACAACATGTTAAGAATGCCAAAGCTGTCTTTTTAATTACAGCATTTGAGGATTCATTACTATAACTAAAACCGGGCCAGTTGAGACACGTCTGCACACTTAACACCTTCAATACCCCCAGCGGCACAGCATGCACATTATAACCAATGTAACCAGCCATTCCAGTTATGCTATCAATGTGCAATAGATTAACTTTAACGCAAGAACAGAAGAAGGTTACAGATGAGATTAGACCATTTAGCCCTCCTAGTTCATTGGGTTGCTCGTCACGGTTTGACCGAAGGATCTCACTCAGGCCTTTCTTGTAAGAAGTCAGTGTATTTACTTCCACAGACTAGCTGTTTAGCTCACTCCAGACTCCCACAACCCCTTGGTGTACATGGTTTCCATTGATGCCCTCTGGTTCTATACCTCTTTTTTTTTTTTTTAAATGGCAAATGGCAAGTAGTGGTACCAAAACAACAGAGTTGATTGTAGAAGACACACTAGTGTCAGCTTGGACCTGCGTTTTTCTGCTGAGACAGACCTTCTTGACTTAGTCTCCTTAGCCCTTTCCTTCAATGCAGGTATCCTGTACATGATGGCCCAGCTCAAAGTCTTTTGTAAGACTTTGAAACACTGGGCACATTAGTGTCTCATCGATACTTATTTTAGTGTTAAAATATACTATAGCAAGAATTTAATAGAACTTCAATAGAATAATAACAATAGCAAAGCCAAGGCACCCATAGAAGGTCACACATGCAAATTACAGCACAGACCCAAGGAATCGCTCATATGGACACAGAAACAATTTCATTTCCTATGAAGTAGACCTACATAAATATAGTATTTTACTGCATTTGCGAGAAATTGTTTACCCATTGTAAATTTAAAACCCCGATTCAATCAACATAAAAAAAATTAAATACAATATCTGCATTTATTCCATTGCATGCTTAGGATTTACAATGACCAAGACATGAGTCTAAAATGAAAATGTCCTTCCCTATTTGCCAACGTGTCCTAATTTTGAACGCTGTATAAAGACATACAGTATAATACTATGAGGATCATTATTGTATTAATCCTTCTGTGCAAATGTTAACAACACAAATATCACCAGCCCCTAGTTCTCCTGCAAAGTCTCAGCCCTGGTAAGAAAACAGCTAATGCGCTAGAACGTCAGAGCTCAGAAAGTACTGTACCTGGAGGCCAGGTGGCTCGTGTGTGAACTACATGTGCCGGGGCTGTACTCGCTCGAAGCCCGACATCCCCGCAGTTCCAGACGCTGTCCTGAGTCGTCCCCTTACCGGCTACGTGGTTTTCCCCTCGGACGCGAAGGGCCGGCGGGCCCCCTGCTCTGAGGGGAGACTGGTGAATATTTGGGAGGCTCACACTGACCACGCTCCCCGGCATGTTTTCAGTGTGAGGCACGGGACTGTCGGAGCTGCTTTTGGAGTGCAGTTATAGGCATAATATATATATATATCTTGCGCCTGTTGTATTTTAGTCGTCAGGGCAACTTGGCTCCATTTCTCACCGATGATGAATGGTCGCCATGGCGCCACCCCTGTGTCTCCAGTGAGCGTAACACAAAGAGATTCCAACGCGCAGATTGTAATTTTCTTTAAGCCTTCTTCACTGTCCAGGCAACCAATTTACCAACTAACTGTATATAAAAAAAAGAGCACAACCACAAAGCAGTTTGTAACAGCCGATGAACCCGGTATGAGTGCAGTATTTTTATACGTAAAATGGGACATCTTATAAATGCTTGTTCATTTAAACCTGAAACACTCCAGATTACAAACATCAGGGTATGAATGACACAAACCACAAAACTTGTTTTATTATTTTATTTCAGCTCTTGTTCATGCACTCATTTTGGTTTAGTAAGAAACCACCATGCTAGATATAATAAACTGTGCACGCTTGAGCTTTCGCTTATAATTAGCAAACCAGCTGTTCCAACTTCACACAGGTTGAAGCGCACACGCGTGCGCTATTCCACAGCACCGATAGCGTTACTCCGGGACTTGTGAGCGCCTCACGTCAGGAGAGCGAGGCGCCAGTCACCTGCACCACGTGAATCGACACCCCGCCTGTCCCCAAACTCCCCAACAACTAGCAGTGGATGAGGACCCGAGACACTCCCGGTTGAACGCGTTCAGTCCAGGCTCCGATACCCCTCCCCGGACGCATTCACCGCTTGCCTTGCACCTGCAGGTGCGCGGAGAACTCTTGAAAGGCACCACCATTGGCTCGATGCGTTTACCTCCAAAGTCGGAATGTGGCAGACGTACAGCCCGGGGGCGGAGGGGAATCTGAGCGCCAAGCGGAGCCCGGCTATGAAGATCCAGCACGTTGTCTCAGGCGGGACGGTGGAGCTGAGGAGGTACAAGGCGCGGGACCCGGAGGTCGTGGCGGACGAGAACGAGAACGTGGAAAGTCTGCCGAGTCTGGGGGAAGCGGCAGTCATTGTTGCCGAGAGCCCACCTGGGCTCCGATCAAGACTGTCCTCAGCAGCAGGGCAAGGTAAAGCCCCGCCTGTTAATAACGCAGTTAATGATGAATAAAACGCCGCCTGCCGAGCTGGGACGCTTCAGCACCAGGGCTAGCAACTTGAATCTTTTATCTGCATGTGTATAGGAACACCGGCGTTTTCGGTGTTGAAGCAAGGACTATCTTTAGTTAACTAACTTTAAACTAAAATTCTATATTTCTGTAAACCCGTGTGTAATGCAATATAAAGGGAACGACAGTCATAGCATGCATTGTATTCCCAAGAAGGATACAACAGTGAAACGATTCGCTCTGCCGAATCCTGTAATCTATTAAATAATTAGCAATAATAATTAGGGGTGTTCCTTAAATTGTTCCTAAAAAAAGACAACGTGGGCTGTGTTTTGTTCTCTTACTCACAATGCTGTACTAATGTCTGTCTTACTACCAGGAAAATACTACCTCCCGTCTAAGTGCACTGCGCGCTTGAATTCAGACAACCTTATAAATAGACTGTAATGTATTTTAACAGCCTGGCTACTGTATTTCATCCACACGCTTTTCATTTCCCTGTAGTGCGTCTTATCTAAAGCTCTAAAAGAATACGTCGGAAACACCAAGCATGTGTCATCAATCATACTGAACTGAAGTCTTGTTCATTGTGAATTAACCGGAGCTCCTCTTTATCAGTAACCTATTTCTATGGGCACAAAGGAAGAGGTTTGTACTGTACTTCTAAGTTTAGAATATGAATAAAAAAGATGCTAACAGCTACCATCTCCGTGTACTATCCTAGTAGCCACCTGGAAACCTAAATTGTCATTTCCTGTGAATTCTTGGTATTTAGTGATAGTTTAGGAAAATTGTTTATTTATTGTAAACAAGTTGTTTGGGCACTTGAATAGTAAATACAGGAAAATAATCATTTTGATTTGTAAAGAAGCTTAGGCTGCATTAAGTGTCTAGGTAGTATTTATTGCCTAATAACTCCAGATGTAATAAGATTTTTGTTTGCAAAATGACTAGAAACAAACAAACCAATGCTACAGTACATGTCCTAGAATATTCTGAACCATCTGATGCTTGAACTGTTCTGGTAATGCTTTGTGTTTTACCATGAAAAAACAAACAGCTAGAATCCACAAGCAATTTTTAATTTTTAAAAAATATTATAAACATATCAGTACATTCTAGTAAGTCTGAAAGTTTGGTGTGGGATATTTTTCTGTGTGGTGATTGTAACACATGCTACTGGATGCTACTTTCTGAGGGGTTTTTGTTTTAAGCACATGGACTTACTGTACCTCCTTTATTGGGACGATGGGAAAGCTACTTTACAGGCAGGTAATAGTGAACCCATTAACAAATAAGAAACATGCATAAATAAATACGTAATACATTTATGTATTTATACCTAAATAAATACACGCATTAATGAGAAGAACAAGTATGTGTCTTAAGTCATCTTCATGATATAGAAAAATAACAAAGAAATTGGGTCATTAGTGTGTGAGACTAGATACACAAGATACATGAGTCATGAAAAAAATAAACAAGAAAGAAAATATACGATCGGTTGTCCAAATTAAGGAGGTTAATAGCTGTGGGAATAAAGGATAACTTACTTCTATGGCATTTGAATCTAGTCAGTCTAAATCAACACCCAGATGGAAGGCAATCCGAGTCACTGTGCAAAGGGTGGTCACGACAGTCAGAGTGATTATAATGCCCTTCTGCACTGTAGGATACTTTGATCTAGACTGAGCTTGGCTTGCATTCCAGATCATATCAGAAAGGTTTGAAACAGTGCATTGGGACAGAAAGGGACATTAGTCCCTTGAGAATGCTTCTGTATCGTGTAGCCTTCTTCGTCTCTTGAAGGCCAGATGGAAATTTTGTTTTCTGGTAAGCGGGTAAGTTTGATATTTATGTAAGGACAAATTCAAAGTCCACACATGAGAGGGCCTCAGCCCAACTTGCTCATTTACTTGCAAGGAGCTTATTGATCTGAAGATGTCATGCAGCTTCTCCTTGAAAGATGCCAGGGCTTTGACTTTGACAACATGGCAGGGTAGTTAGTCACAGACTCCTGCAACCCGTTTTAAAAGCATTTCCCGGTAGGTACTGCTTGGATCCTCTGCTCTGTGTTCCACTGTAGATCTTAAAGGAGCCTGCTGGGTTGACTTTGAGGATTTTGAGCACTTGATTCAGGTTCCCTTGTAGTCTTCTCTGTTCCGGACTAATGAATTCACTTCTTCTAACCCGTCAGTGTAGGACATTCCCTTAAGTCCCCGAACATACCTGAATGTTCTTCTCTAGACTGATTCCAGAGGAGCAATATCTTCTCTTGCAGTGTGACATCTGAAATTGGGCATAGTATTCTGCATGAGGTTTTATTAGCGTCTTATACAGTAGAGGTTTAACACAACACTCATCGAGTGTTTTCATTAAATTATACACTGATTTACATTCAGTCTGTCTGTTTTATTGCTTGCACACATACTGTAATATTTCCCACAACTATTCATGGAGTGTGTACTGCAAAAATTGCAAAATGTAGGCATGCTGTAGCTATATTGTGAGTTTGTAAATTGATGACATTTGCAAATTCAATATGATTTGGGCAGGTGCTGTCTTGGAGGTGTAATGTGGAACCAAACGCATGTAGTTCTTGACATCAGATAACAGACAGTGTTCTGTCAATAAGTTCTTTACAAGGTTGAGTCCAGAGATCTAGAGTAAAATCAAGCTAAGGATGTAAATTTATCAAAAAAATATGTAGACTTAATATGTAAACTGTCATCTTTAATTTCTTACATGATCTGTTATAGTTTGACAGGGTAATAGTTTGGCAAGTTTTAAATGAAAAACAATTCTCATTATGTTGTTCTCAAAAATAAGCTAAATTTAGACAAAACATTTGGAGAAAAAAAACTGAGCAGTTGGTTGTTGCTACAGTCCTGTTATGAAAAAAGTGGTTTCATTAATGTAATATTTTTTCCTGATATCCCTAAGTTCCAGTTTACTTATGTGAGACAGTTGTGTGCTGTCTGTCTTTCTAGAAAAGCTCTGTGGAGCTCTATTATTGCAGTCTATAAAAGGAAAGGATATTTAATTTTTGAAGTTCAAATGTGGAGAATATGTTTTAATACTGCCTTGTTTATACCTTTATTTATACATTGTATTATTATTATTAGTAGTAGTAGTAGTATTTTCACTTAAGTGCAGAATATTTGCTAGTTTTGAGAATTGACCTTTTCTGAAAGCTGTAAAATCTTAAGTAGATGAACCATGAATCTGAGGGCGGAGTGGGGAGCCACAGTATGTTGGTGTTCGAGGTGCAAAGGATTAAGGAGAGGTCAATTCTACAACATTTCAGCTATGCAGTCTTCAAAGAAAAGATGAAAAAAATGAAACAGAAGATAAACAAGCAGAATCTGTTGTCTTTTTTATTTTCTTATTTTTCAGCATGGAATTAACCTCTCTGCCTTCAATCAATCACTACATAGATATGTACTTACTGTACAAAGAAATAATGTGGAATGTACAAATACATACAGTATTCGGTGTTAGAATTCTGTGCAGTACCATCTTATTTTTGTAGGAGTAAAAGTGTATTGTACTAATTTTTAGACAGATCCTTTTCTATTCGTGCAGTATTATGTAGTCATTTAAAATCTCTGTGGGTCAATGAATGAATAAATACAATAAATCATTGATATAATTCTGGTACAAATGAATAAATACAAGGTACCTTGCAAATATTTGGATTTGCATATACAGTACATACTGTACAGTGTGTTTAAAACAGACTATAATTTTGTTTTAGAGGGTGGGATATTAATGAACTTCCTGGTGATATTTAAGAGTCTTATACAAAGAGGTTTTGATTGATTTTTGGAATGGTTTGGAGATCAGGAGGAAGGAATCAATACTGTAATTTGCAGATAACCCTGGGACAGCATGACGATAGCTTGATTGTATTAATGACTGCAAAATTAAAAACAAATCCCTTTTAATATCTGCATTTCCTTTTCTAAAATTGC